GTGTTGCTAATTGGTGTCAGAGGCAGAGAATTATGGGAGTTAGTGAGTCAGAAAAAAGAATCTCAGCCTGGAGAACTGTTGAGCTAGTTTTCCCGATGATTTGAGTGTATATGCGGAGGAAATTGTTTGATTTCACGATGTTTGAGTCGGAAGGAGAGATGGCTCGCGCTTAAATGATTGTGTTGAGAACCAGCCGATGAAACCAGTGCATCTCTGGTCAAGCGCACGTAAAGAAACATTACGTGAACAATAGCACTTGCCAAGCTAGTTTCCGAAAAGTTATTTTCCGTAAAATCTATTTATGATAATATTTGCGCTCAGTTAACCCTCATGTGGGTTTCCTTGACCACAGATGGGTGAAAATGTTATACATAGCCACGATGGCTTTACATAACAGCAAGTGGAGTAAAACAGATTAAGAGTCTTTCTTCTTGTTTGTATTGGTTCTGATATCTTTTAAAAGACCCAAATGAATATTGATTTTAACTGTCGATATATTTATTTCACCTGTGTATTGTCATAGATGTAATTATATATTTGGTGACATGCTATTACGTAATGATAGAATTTTTTAAAAAGTCGGAAGTGCAAATTTTATATGATTTAGAACAGATGGATAATGACCAAAAACGTGAACATGAATAATATAAAACTCTTAGTAAAAAAATGAAATTAAATACACAAATAAAAGTTACATCGTTACATAAACAAGTGAGGGACGAGTAAACCAAAGGGTGGGATATATATCGTGTGTGCATATATATATATAGTATACTTTATTTCTGTTCTTATTCACACACATACAGACACAGACACACACACACACACACACACACACACACACATATATTTAGTGCAGCGAACGAAATGAATAAATATCAAATTTTAATAATACTCAGAGATTTTCTATAATTAAATACATTATTTTTTATAACTTTAGAAAAGTCAAAACAATATTTTAATATTTATAAATATATATAATGTATACATATGTGTGTGTGAAGGAGAACAGCGAACGAAATAAATAAATATCAAATTATAATAATACTCAGAGATTTTCTATAATTAAATTCATTATTTTTTATAACTTTAGAAAAGTCAAACCAATATTTTAATATTTATATATATATATAATGTATGCATATGTGTGTGTGTGAAGGAGAACAGCGAACGAAATAAATTGATATCAAATTATAATAATACTCAGAGATTTTCTATAATTAAATACATTATTTTTTATAACTTTAGAAAAGTCAAAACAATATTATAATATTTATATATATATAATTTATACATATGTGTGTGTGTGAAGGAGAACAGCGAACGAAATAAATTAATATCAAATTATAATAATACTCAGAGATTTTCTATAATTAAATACATTATTTTTTATAACTTTAGAAAAGTCAAACAATATTTTGATAGTAAATAAATAAATAAATAAATAAATAAATAAATAAATAAAAGTGATAGTTCAATACGGTGATTGTAGTATTGCCACACTGTATAAGTCCATACTGTCCGACTGCCCAGCGTGTCTCAATAGTGAATGGAACGCTGCCACAAATATGTACGTTATTGCTCCAAACGTATGGCATAAACTACTTAATGCACCCCACACATCTTCAGTGCTTGGGCTCAGGTTAGGAGGGGCGGGTCAATTATGTAGTGAGAGAACAAATTTCACAGGGATTGATAAAGTACAGAACAGAAAGGAGAACTATTTTAAATGGAAATTGATATAGCGTTCACTACATGGGGTGTTAGGTCTCATTTAATACCTCGCTTGTTCATTTCATATCAATATGGCGGCGCACAATGGCGTCTTACAGGGGAGATAATTTCTAATTGCCAAAAGAAGAGGACCGCGTTACAACAACGACAAAGGGGTGTTGAAAAGAGACACAAATTTATTGAGTTGCGTTCAATGACTGCTTTGGGGAAAGTGGTCATTCGAAATGAACAGCCCAGGTGATGTGTTCCTGTGAAAGGATTAACTATTTAACGAGCCCTGTCACGACTGGAGGTAGTGTGGTGTCACTCGGTGCAAGACGCGGTCTTTACACGGGGTGAAAATGTGCGGACAAAAAGACAACAAAAAATCCCTACCCCCTGCTTCGTTTAGGCTCGTCACTGGGTCACACGACAGCGGCAATTTCATGCAAAGTTTATCAGAAAAGAAACCTGAGGTCAAGACTTAGAGATAAGCTCTTGCACTCGAGATTTCAGTTCTCTCCCGAGGGAGCGTTCAGTGCAGAAACCCTGATTATTAGATTTATATTATTTTCTTGTTATAAAGGAACACACTTGATTAGGTACAGACTGTAATGTTGGTCCGAAATATTGCCATGCGAGGACTCTATCGTAGCTAGTATGACTGACGCCAGTTTTATATTTTCTTTTCTGTTGTCATTCTGTGCTAGTGAATACACTTAATTTATTTATGTTAATATTTTATGTTTACAATTGGTTAGAATTAATATCACATAAATCGTGTCTATCCCTGTTTATCCTTTTGCCTGAAACGAAGCCTAACCCTAACCCTAACCCTTACATACATGATTTTATGCGGGTTTTTATATTTATATGGTGTATGTCATTTTATATATACATTTTATTGGCATGTCAGATTGTCAACGTTTTTCGCTTTCGCTTGAAGAAAATGATCTTTGATAGAGTCAGACTTACGGCCTCGGGCAGCGAGCTCGGGTTCACAAATTTATGCTCAGAAAAAAAGGTTTTGACCACCCAAGACTTCGATGGTTTTATAAAAAATAAATCTACACGGAATAGATTATCGGTTTTAAATTGAAAAGCCTCTTCTAGATGTGTAGGACACTGAACATCTGTAAACATAGTATAAACAATATTAATGTGTGTCAAGTCAAAGATATTTATTGCATTTAGGGCCCCCGGCCCCTATACAAAGGAGTCACGTATGAGTAGTTTTACATATTCGGATATATACACTAACGTTTAACGATTCGTTTTTTTTAGAGAAATTGCCTCTTTACATATCTAGCCAGTTTTAATATGACAGCATCATCTTTGAAGAGAGAATAGAATAAAAAAGCAGGTAGGGGATAATTTGACAAATATCTGGTTTAAACTTGTTTCTTAGATCAGGATAATAAGGACAAACTAAAGTAAAATTAAGTTCATTTGCTATAGCTGAATGACATAATGGGCATAACCTCTTCGGATTTTCAGTGGACATTTTTCTTCCTTCATCCATCATGAGATCTAACAATCCAAACCTTACTTGAATAAATGGACGTCGAAGGGTTCTTGAGGTAGATAAGTCTTTTTCTGGTTGAATTAGACACTTCAAAGTTGTATACAAGTCCTACCTTGAACTATGTTCTCCAGTGGAATGCCATTCTTGGTCAAACACATTTATAGATTGTTCACGAAATTGTTCCAAAAAGAGTTTAACATCAACAACCGTTTGGTTTAAACATACAAAACCGTAGAAGACAAATAAAACAAAAGGTCTTGTGAAGAGTGTTTTGTCACTCTAAATCTTTATGCATAGATCCAAATATGAAACAGATGGAGTGGTATCATTGGTCTTCTGTATTGCTAGTTCATGTGGGTAAATCAGTGGAAAGGAATTGGCTATATGTTGGTTATTGGTTATCTTGAACACGTTATAACATACAGGCGGTAAGCATAAAATGCATGGTCATGCTGTATCAATTCAATCAGCATGTAATGGGGTCAAAAGTCACAAACTGAAACTAGATATGTGTCCTTGCTCACCAGACATTGACAGATATGAATATGACGCCAAACCCTTTCCATATTCATAAGAAACCTCTGCTGAAAGAATAGTTGATTGTACGGTTCCGACTGAATCATGAGCATGTGGTGATGAATCACTATAAAATAATGATGACACCAGGTTTTAGCGAAAAGGTGAGAGTATCCTGCCCACCCGCTGACACATGCAATTGCAAGACAGTTGTTCATCTGAAAAAACACTGAAAAATGTGGGTACAAGTCAAAAAAACGGAATTACATCAGATATCATTTTTGTCACTGAAGCCAGTGTAGTGTAACCCAAATAATGAGCAGACAGATACAGCTATATATAAATCAAGTCTACATTTAACCAAGACCTGCCAATATGGAACCGAAGTTGGGGGTGACAATGGGGGCATTGTCAGTGATGGATTAGTAAATATAAAAGAACAAATAACGACTCAATCAAAGGCTTGGCGATGCATATTCACGAATCCATATCAGCCTCCTTCTTCAGAGGACGGGGGCGGTCGGGTAGCCTAGTGGTTAAAGCGTTCGTTCGTCACGTCGAAGACCCGGGTTCGATTCCCGACATGGGTACAATGTGTGAAGCCCATTTCTGGTGTCCCCCGCCGTGATATTGCTGGAATATTGCTAAAAGCGGCGTAAAACCATACTCACTCACTCACTCTTCAGAGGACGCCGGGGTAGTCCAGTGGTTATTCATTCGTCGATCAAACCGTAGGCTCTGGTTCTATTCTCTACACTGGTAAACTATTCAAAGCTCATTTGAGGTGATATTGCTAGAACATTGCTAAGACGTGAAACATTGTGATTCGGTCATCGGGAAGAGGTGGTAGTGGGTAGGATGGTAGAATCAACCACTAAAAGTTTAATGTTTCCGGAAGAGCCCCTATCATATGAAGAATGGTGCTTATATTCGATTCCTGATGAATGTTTGATAATAAAAGACCGGTCTATTTATTGCACTTGTGTCTATATTCATCTATCATATTTATTTAGCTATAATGCTACTTGTCGTTTTGCTGAAAAAATGTTATCTATCGAAGGTTGGGTTCTAATAATAAACACACTGAATCCTGTTTTTAAGCGGAATGTCCGATAAGACCAATAAGAATGTGAACAAAGAGGTGTCCATGATGTGAGGTCAGCATTGACCCCAATGGCCGTGGTTTGGTCTTCGTGGCCTACAAGATAAGATAAGCTCACACCCAACGTTAAATAGAATACCTGAGTGAACGTGTTCTTTGATTCACGACCATGAGGACAGTCCTCTTGTTCCTTGTTTTGGGCAGCCTGTCCTTCTGTGTCCTCTGTTTATGTCCTCATCAGACGCCGGGACTCAGGAGATGGTCCCACGGGTCCAGCTGGCCGGGTAATAAGGTAAAGTCAAAATAAAGAAAATAATGTACGAACTGCAATGAATTAAGGGTTACTTTTACCCAAGGGGCTGGGATGTAGGTAAACCTATTTCCAGTAATAATCTCTGAGAATTAGCAACTTGTTTGTTGGTTTGTTGTTTGCAATATTCCAGCTGTATGACGGCAGTTTGTAAGTAATCGAGTCTGGATTAGACAATCCAGTGATTGACATCATGAGCATCAATCCACGCAATTGGGATATGATGACATGCATAGACCAAGTAAGCGAGCCTGACCAGCCGTTCCCGTCAGTCGCCTCTTGCTTCAAGCATAGTCGCCTTTTCGGCAAGCATGTGTTGCTGAAGACCTATTCTAACCCAAATCTTCAGGATACTTCTAACAAATGCACACAACATACCTATAATGATCTGAAGCAGGAACTAATTTCCGAAAGTTGAATTCATCGATTGATGCGATGACAGCTTGCTCATACATGATGATAGGTGCTTTTTGTTAGAGCAAATTTGAAATCTCGTCATGACGGTGTTGATTCTCTATCCAGTGAGTTAGTGAGTGAGTGAATGATTTGGGTTTAACGCCGCTTTTAGCAGTATTCCAGTTATATCACGGCGCGTCAGCTTTATGTGGGCGGAAAGCCCGATATTCTCTATCCAATATCCAGTAAATAAGTAAAGGCAACACATGTGTACACTTTATGTTTTGACTGATGATAGAATTTGATGAAATAACTTCACATTGACAGAAACCTGGTACACATGCCCGAGTGGTCATCACTGATGCCATACTGCTGGACGAATCCCCACCGGAACTGTCCAGTGTCACCATAGAAACGGGAGGACGCCTCGTGTGGAGCCCGGATGGAGATTACAATCTGACAACCCAGTATATTTTAATCAAGGGGCGTTTTGACATCGGCAGTGATGACTGCAAGTTTAACAGAAAGGCCAACATCACTCTGACAGGTAACGAGACGATAGTGATTAGTAAGTGAGTTTGATTTTACGCCGCTTTTGGCAATAGTCCAGCAATAGTACGGCGGGGGACACCAGAAATGGGCTTCACACATTGTACCCCTGTAGAGAATCGAAACCGGGCTTTCATCGTGACGAGCGGACGCTTTAACCACTAGGCTACCTCCCGCCCGCGATAGTGATTAACTGATGATGGCTTCCTTTGTCACTTATTTCACCTAATCTGTTCAGGAAGGAAATTCATTATCACAGATCTGATCCTACTTTTTATTGCACGTTAAACATAGCCTATTTTGGGAAGTATGAACGTGTAGCCCTTTATTCCAAACTATTGTGTGAAGACCAACACTGAAGCCTTGTGGTCAAAGCGTTGGCTTATGACGCTGATGGACCCGGTGTTTAAATTCCCACATTGGGACCATATATAAAGCATGTCTTGATATAGCTGAAATATTCAGCACTCCACTCACTCACTATATGTTTGTTTGTTGTTTAACGCCGCACTCAGTTATATTCCAGCTCTATGACGGCGATCTGTAAATAATCGAATCTGGATCACACAATCAAGTGAGTGACATCATGAGCGTCGATACACGCAGTTGGGATACGATGACATCGTCAACCAAATCAGCGAGCCTGACCACCCGATCCCATCAGAAACCTCTTTTCGTTGCTGAAGACCCATTCTTCCCCGGAACTTCACATTATAGTGCCATTGAATAGTATACATGTCCAACAACGGTGTTTCAGAAGGACCGTTGTCATTATACCCATTGCAATGCCCTCATCC